GCCCACAAAATATACAGTCAATTCACTTTACAGTGTATCCCGTGAAGCGCTTTGAGACGTCTCGAAGACGTGATGAGGCGCTGTATCAAATGCGAGGATTATTATTATTATTATTACTATTATTATTATTATTACAAGTCTGCTCCTTCCGACGGTTCGAGACCCGGTAAAGCACCAACCTGCATCGTTTGATTCCTGGGCAGTTCAGGGTTTTCTCCCGATTTTTCCAAAGACGCTGGACTGTTGCTGGCTTTTTCCAGGGAAAGGAACAGGATAAAATCCCACTGACTTCACCTGCTTTCACTGTTGGTGTAAGAGAAAGCCCGGGAACGTCTCGAGGCTCTGTCGAAGGAATGTCGTTGTGGTTCTCTAGACAGATCCTTGGTTAATGCACCCAGTGTCTATCTGTCTATGTGTGTGTCTTGTGGTTGGGAGCTTCACACTGCAGTTGTCTGTCCAATCAATGTACGTAGCTGCGTCTGTAATGAACCCTTGGAGTGGATTGGGGAGTGAGGGGGGGGGGGGGGAGCGATGTGTCTGTGTGTGTGTGTGTGTGTGTGTTTGCGTGTGGACGAGAGGGGTAGAGAGATAGAGCGAGAGAGAGAGAGAGAGAGAAAGGGAGAGAGACCTACACAGTGCAGTGCAGGAGCGAGTGCAGGAAGAGTGAACGGAAATGGACAGAGAGCGTAATAATAATAATAATAATAATAATACAATAATAACAACAACAATAATAAACCTCGCACTTGATGCGGCGCCGAATAAACCCGACAACCAGGAAAAAAAAGAACAAGGCAAAGCCGAAGAGGAGTGAGAGAATAAAGAATGATATCAATAAAAGAGCGGAAAATCTCCTCGAAGTTCAGATGTGCAATCGGACACTTTCGCATATTATCCCGTTGCTCAATTGAGGACTTGTTTCAGTCTCGCGTTTTCCCTTCAGAGAAATGTGTGTTCGAATGCGACAATCTGGTTGGATGCAGATCAGACGGATGTGAAATAACGGTGGTTAAAAAGCAACGCGTGTGTTTAAGCCTTGAGAATACCCCCCCCCCCCCCACCCCCACATCCTGATCCCAAGCCCAACCCCACCCCCCCCCCCCACCCGTTCAGCTCGGGTCCAAACTGACTGTCCAGCGCCTTGGGACGTCCTCCGGCCGCCAAAGGCAGGCTCCGAGCGAATGTAAGACCGAATTAAGGGACTTGACGCGGCCTTTTCGATTTTTAAGGCTGGGGCTGTTGGGGGCGCGGGGGTTGGGATTGGGTGGGGGGGGCGGGGGAGATTTGACTGATTTGGGGAGAGGTGTAAGTGGACCCGAATGGTTTCGGCTTGTGTATTTTGTACTGTGTAACCCTTTACTTATTTATTCATGGCGCGATTGAAAGGCAATGAAAAGACCCGGTTATATTACAAACCAAGCTCGACCGGGCGTGAATGGGAAGGAATGGAATGACTTGGAGTCGTGCATCGAGTGAGGCGAAACCCCAAGGGAGGACTCGCCGCCGGCCCCACTTCCGGGTCGCGGGATCGCCGAAGACACCACATCTCGCGCGGACGCTCCAACTTCCTGCGCAGGCGGCGGAAACCGGGAAGCGTGCGCACCCTGACCGGGTGCTTAACCGACGGCCTCGCCCTCCGCGTGCGCCCCGCGGCCGCGCGCGCGCGTGACCACGACGGACGATTTTGCGCAAGTCGGAGCTGCCGCGGTCACCTACGAAGTGCACAGTCACTGCACTTGCCCTCTCGCGCCGGGATTTATTTCCGAGCGGCGATTGAAGGCGGATAAATTCGGAATAAAATCCCCCGAGGGAGCCGGAGGGCGGAAGCAGAAAAATGGCGCTTTGCTTTCCAGACCAAAATCGGACAGAATGCTGCCGGAAAATAACACCCGCGGATAGGTGCAGTGTGTGGTTTGGGACGCGACACCTCAGGGCTGGCGGAGGGCGAACTGGTTGGGACCTTGGTCTCCTTTCCTTATCCCGAGACGCTACCCCGCTGTGTAAGTAGTGCAAGTTGTTGTTGTTCTTGTTGTTGTTGTTGTTGTTGTCCTTGTCGTCACGCTGCGCCCAACCGGCTGCCGCGATCGCAAAATACCCGGTCACTCCACTTTCCGGTCTAATCCCGCGAAGCGCTTTGAGACGTCTCGACGACGCGATGAGGCGCTGCATCAAATGCAGGGATTATCATTATTATCATTATGATGATTATTAATCCTTACGATTGAGATAAATGAGAGAAATCTGGAAAAAGCCTTCCCTCGGGAGCTTTCCGCTGCTCATTTTTGCACCGAAACAGTCGGTTAATTGTCTGCAGCTCCGATGCTGCGCTACTAATCTGTGCGCGGGCGGACTTCGGAGACAGAGCTTCGATCCAGTGTTGTGTGTGGCCGACCTCAGGTCAGGACACCCCCTTCCTGCCCCTCCCAACGCCCCCCTCCCCCCCCCACCCCAGCACTCCCCCGTACCCCCCCCCAACCCCCGTCCCCTCATGCGTTCCCCATTCCCTGCTCCAGATTCGCCCTGTTCACCTGTCCCGCGCTTTCAACACGTTTCAAGCCGCGCGAACACACGCGTTCCACGTGCACGCAAGCACCCGTGCACGCACACGGACCCGCGGACGCGGGCACGCTCACTCGCCCTGGCGCACGCACACGGACCCGCGGACGCGGGCACGCTCACTCGCCCTGGCGCACCGCACCTGCGCAAGCGCCCACGGGCACGAGACCACGCGCTCACACGCGTGCGCGCGGAGACCTGCGCGGGCACACGCCAAGACATAGGCAAGCCTGCGCGCTCGCACAGGTCCAGCCGCGCATTTGACTGCAGCTCCCGTGCTGTTGCTAACGTGCGCACTATGGCTGCCGCTATGACCCTCACCCCCTCACCCCCTCCCTGCCTCCCTCCTCTCTACCCCCAAACCCTCCCCCCTCTGCATCTCTCCCCTCTCGACTCTCTACCCCCTCCTCGCTCCCTCCCTTCCCTCCCCTCACGCTGACCATGTCCCCCCCAATGCTCGGGTCCTGACCCAACTGTCCAGCGCCTTGGGACGTCCTCCCGACGTGAAAGGCGCTCTATAAATGGAATCTTGTTGTTGTTGTTGTTGTTATACGCATCTGCCTTTAACGCCTTCCCACGTCGCTGATTAGCTCAAAGTGTGTGGGGGGGGGGGGGGGGCGGGGGGGGGCCACATATGCTACTTGGAGGAGCCAGATATATTGCTTGAAGTGCGAACCGCCTGCAGTAATCCTCCCCACACCCCCCTACAACCCCCCACAACCAACCTACCCTCTCCCTCCCTCCCTCCCTCCCCCCCCCTCCTTCCCTCCTCCCCCCTCCCCCCCTTTGCAATCGCCTCGGATTTTTTTTTTCCCCCTTCGGCACGTGGGAGGCTGCTCCGTCAGAGGCTCGGATGCTGTGGCAAAGCAGAAGAGCAGGAGATTATCAGGGAGAGGAGAGGAGGAGAGGATTCAGAGGTGGAAAGGCGCTCCCCGTCCTCGCGGCTCAGCTCGGAGAGGTAAGACCCCGATGGGCAGGCGTCGCGTCCGAGAGTGATGAGAATAACGGCTACCCACGGGCCAGCTGCTCACGGGAGCTGACCGTGCGGCAACAACCCCCCCCCCCCCCCCCCGTCCCGTGCCATCTCTCCTTCCTCTGGTACGGACAGCCCTGCACTGCACTGCACTGCACCGACGACGGCTATCGCTCTCCACAGTACTGATACCGGCACACGGCGAGCGGTCGAAAACCGGACCCGTCGTTCCGCCGTCCGAGTGGGTTCGAAGGTGCCCTTTTTTCTCCTCGAATTTTTTTTTCTCTCTGTCGTTCACGGGGCGAGATTCGCCCACGCCGAGCTGCGAGCCCCGACCGGAATTCGTGACGGGTGTTTTCTTTTTTTTGGAAGCGGAGACATTTTAAAATCGCTGTTGAAATGGTGTAATCTCCTCCACTGCTGCCCATGTCGTTCCCTCCCTCTCTCTCTCTCTCTCTCCCTCCCTCCCTCTCTCCTCTCTCTCTCTTTTCCTCCCCCCCTCTCCCCCCTCACTCTCCATCACCCACACCCCCCCCCCCGCACCACCTCCCCTTCTCTCTGCCATCACCCTCCTCTCCCCGGGGGGATATGAGGGAAATTAATTGAACGCCTCCTGAGGAATAACTGTCCAATCGCTCAGCCTTGTCAGTGTTCACTGTCTCTCCGCATAATGGCCAAGTGTGTGTGGTTTTAGCCGGTCAGACTCCAGCAGTTACCCACAACGTACACTCTGGACTCCCCCCACTCCCCCCACCCACCCACACCCACACCCCACACCCCCCCCACCTCCCCATCCCCCCCAAGCCTTGGCTCTTGCCAACCTGCACCTCATACGCTCCGGGATTAAATAAAGCTGGATGCCTCCCTCCCTCCCTCCCTCCCAACCTCCCTCCCTCCTTCCAGAGAGCGCAAGAGAGAGCGAGAGAGAGCGAGAGAGAGCGCATTCCATCCCAATAAATATTCTATCTCTGGTATGTCCACGTGTAGGTGGGATGCACGGAATTCTCAGCTCGGTTTGGAGACTCTTAAGCAACGGTGATGGGTTTCCGCGCGTGTCAGACACTCGGCTGACCCCCTCTTTCTCCGCCAGCCTCACCCGCCCACCCCCGCCCCCACCCCG